CTGGTTGGGAACTGTAGCACGCAACGCTTGTGCGTTCTCAACCTTCCCCTCACCTCCAAGAGACGTTTTAAGAATGAAAAGATCATTCTGTCCCTTCCGCACTTTGGCCAGTAACCTCCCCCCTTTGGAGATCGTGCAGACATCGTTTTCAAAACAAACTTTGAACCCCTTACTTAACAAATAAGGCACAGATAACAAAACAATGTTGAATCTCTGGAACAATACAAAAATCCACCGTCTCCTGTAAAACAGAAAGATAGGCATTAGTACACGTGGACACTCTAGTTTTCTGTCCATTTGCAAACTTAATAGTCTGTCCCTTCGGAACTGCCGTGCAATTCCACCTCTCGACTGCAGGGGTCTCTGGAACCATGTTGCGGTTAGCTGCAGAGTCTATTACAAAGGCCATCTCGGAATTTTCCACTCGGCCGTCTTCAAACACTGCCATACTCGCCGAGACTTGATAAGACTCTTCTCCCTGCTGTTTACCACGGCCACCTGGCTCAGTTCCACGCCTGCCTGCCTTCCCAGGCCTGTTGCCATGGAAACCCGCCTGATTCCCATGGGAAATGTCCTTCACAACATCCTGCCTCGGCTCTCTGCACCGGTGGGGGCACTTGCCACTCAGATGTTGCGCCGTGTGACGAACTCCAGTGGAAAAACACTGCCCGGGGCTCCCAGCTGGCTTGGCCCTCCTCCTTCTGGAACGGCGCCTCCCACCAGCCTCGCCCCCCCTGAAGCTGCTCTTCGCTTCAGCACAAAGGGAAAGTCCTTTAAACTTGCCTTTGGAACTCTTCGCCCCCCCGATCTGCTCACTAGCGCTCCTAGAGGCCAATACATCGGGAACAGGGCCTGCCAGTCCAGCCTTTCCAGGACTCAGTCCATCACACAGACGTGTAGAAGCATTACAACAGCTCCCCAACACTGTCCCAGCCCCCATTGGGCTTTCTGGGCATCCTTCTGCCTCTCCAGGGCTTCCTCCAGGGCTCTGGCCTTTCGCTGACGCCTCACACAAGCCTTTCAGCAAATTCCAGGCAGCCCACGCTGTCGTTACGCCCTCCAACTGAGGCCCCAGTGACGCATCAACGGATGCTTTGAGCATATTCAGCTCTTGTTGCAGCCTCTGGCTATCTTCAGCCAACACAGCCTGCTTCACCTGCTCCAGCTGCTGGCCGGCTAAGGGGTGTTTCTTTTGGCTCCCACTGGTTTGCTTCCCAGAGCCCTTCAACCAAGAACCATCCCCTTATTCTCCTCGACCACGTTGCCCAACTCTTTAGAGTGAGCTTTTCCACTGGTATATCCTGGCAGTCTGCCATCTTCTCCCGTTCTCTCAAGGGGCCCCAAGCTGTACTCACAAGCTTCTCTGGCACTCCCTTCCGTGGAGAAACAATTTTTCAGCTGCTTTTCAGCTCCAGCTCTCTGTATATCAGAAGCTCTCACTGCCTCTCGGAAGCAGGCAATTAATCATTCTTGCTCTCCGGCATCCACACAGCTCCCGTTCCTCAGAACCCAGCTTCAAAGCCTTCCTGAAGCTGTTTTACGACTGTTTTACGAGCGTTGACTGACCTTCCATAACCTCTTCGGATAAATCGATCTGGCCCTTGATCGATAGAGCCGCGACTTCAGACAGCTTTACGGTCCCAATCAATCACTTACAGCGGTCCGGCACGCTTCCTCCCAAGCTGCGCAATAACTCCTGCTGTCTCTTCTCAGTCACGGCTTTTAGCAGAGTAGAAACACAGCGTGTAAAGCAGTCTTACTCCTTGTAAGCACACATAGACAGGTTCGTCTATTTACAGCTCTTTATTACAACATTTCAGCATCAAAGTCCGTCACTGCTGGCAGCCATTGCTGCAAACATGTCTCCCTCTCAGATACACAGAGGGAACTGAAACAAACAGGGAATAGTCCCGCCCAGCTTCTAAAGCTTCTGTCTCCGCCCAGCTGTAAGCTGACGTCAGCAGGTGACACACACCAGGGAATTTAACCAGATAAATTCTGAACTATAACAATATTCACTGTGGGGTGATCCCACATCCCTTTGGGACTGTGTGAATAAAGCAGCCCTTAGGTGGGGCGAATCACATAAACTTTCCTAGTTACTGTAGACCTCCCGCCGGGCGCGCAAGGCTTGCGGACATCTGCCCAAAGCACGGGGCGTGCTCCGCAGCGGACTTCAGGCTGCAGGCTGCTGCCACCAAGCCTTGGGAGCCCAGCGGGCACTCCCGCCGGGCTCCCAAGGCTTGCGGATAGCTTCCTGAAGCCTGGAGAGCGAGAGGGGTCAGTGCGCACCGACGCCTCTCGCTCTCCAGGCTTCAGTGAAAGCCTGCATTCGCCCCATAGGACGTACACACATTTCCCCTTCATTTTTGGAGGGGGGAAAGTACATCCTATAGGGCGAAAAATACGGTATTTGTTGCTTAGTCTAGGAGGGGTCCTTTGCTGGGAATTAATATAGGGAATCTGCTATTGTGATGGCTTACCACACCAACTAAAACCCTTTTTGGATTTGCAGCATTCCCCCCTCTCCTTATCAGGTATTGTCATAATTGTGCAGTGTGGCACATAAGTTTGGGAATGCTGCTGGATAGCAGGTGTGGAAACTTAAAGATTAAGGTAGCATCCTGTGTACACTTATTTGAGAGAAAGCTCCATTGAACATGGTGGAATTTAATTCTGAGTAACCATGCATAGGATATTGCTGGAAGATGTATCTCCTCTTGCAACATTCATGGTGCCAAGTAAATTCCCAGGTATGCATTAGAGAGCATGTTAGTGGTGTGGTGTTGAGACCTTTTCTAGTCATATAGTCATACTTTGCTGAAATATCCTTCCAAAGGTCATAGCAAGAGTGGAAGTTAAGTACATCCAGATCAGTTTTGATAGTAGTTATTTTCATTCACTTTTCTCAAAATCACCTTGAGCCTTTCTCCAACAGACGTTTTTGTTATATTTCCTATTTGAGTCCAAAGAACATCTCTTTCTATCCACTTCAGGATTATTATATTCATACAAAAGCAGCTTAGTGGTCATTTCTGTGACCCATTGATTAAAAGAAAAAGTATCTACTTTCATATTTCAGCAACATATCTCATTGTTATTTGTTAAAACCTTTGCTCTTGGAAGCTTCAGGAATATTATACTTTTCACAGTGATGAACCATGGAGCATGGATGCTCATGCCTGTGACTTCTGCTGTGTGAGGGTTTTGTTGTTCTTCGATTGGCAGTGCCTTCCACCTTCCGCCTTTTGTCATTTCTTGTTGCCTAGTAATCACTCATGTTTTCCCACTAAAATAATAAAGCATACAGATCACTTTTGCATTTCAAAACCATTTATTCCCAACTGTGTCTTCATATCGAATTAATGATCTACCTTCCTCCTTTTCCATTAATGAACTCCGTTTAACTCCAAAAGTTTTGGCTCAAACTCACTTCAATCAAAGAAGTGAACTTTGCAAGACCCTTAACATTATTACCATCCATGGCAAATGTTTACCATCTTTAGTTAGTTAGTTAGTTAGTTAGTTAGTTAGTTGATTTTATAGCATCTAGTCTGTTTCTGTGAACTAACACTACTCTTCCCTGTCCCACATTTTATACTTCTATGAATTTACAGAGGCTTATGTAGGCATTTCAGTCAGTCTCTGTTTCTGTGGCCAATCAGGTCTGTGCACTGCTCAGTCACTCTTAATCCAGAAGTAAAGCGATTTCCATGTTTGCCAAGGTAGAAAAATCATGTGACTGACATTTCAGTATTAGGAAATCCCCCTTCCTCCTGTTGTTATGAGGGCAACCATTACAAATAGTAGGATGGTACGGAGGGTTGTTCAGTTGAGAACTCAAGTGTTCAAAGACTATATATAGCATGAGAACATGGATTGCTCTGCCTTGTACACCTACTAAGGCAAACCTGTCCCAGAAGACAGCCACATGCCAGGTTTGCTTAGGACCCACATATAAAATCCAGTGTTTACCCTGAATATCCTGGTTGTGACCCAGGTTCTGTTTTCTTTAGGGGTTTTTATTGGTTTATCTGTCCATTTCTTTATTTAGGAATTTATATACCGCCTTTCACCATAAGGTCACAGGGCGACATACAGCACATTAAAACACATCAGTAGATATTCTAAAAGCTATTAAAACAGAAATACAAGACAAGCACAGCATAAACTAAGACAGAAAGCATAAAATAGTGAGTGACACAATCCAAAACTAACCACAGACAGGTTACACATTGCCACCTGCCTGGTGAAATAGGTACATCCTCAACTTGCTTCTAAAAAGATTTAACTTTGAGGCAAGGTGTACATCAGTAGGAAGTTTTAGAGCTGCCAATGAAGAAGCCCAGCTATGGGCCCCAGCACTACTTATTTCACCCATTTTCAGGACTATCAGGAAGGCCTCCTTAACTGATCTTAAAAAAATGGAGAGAAGGTTTGGGAGAAGGCATTCTCTCACATACTTGAATCTCAGGCTGTTCAGTTTTCTTTAGTTTTTAGGGGCTCCCTTCCCCCTTGATTCCAAACCTCAAACTGAGGCAGGGTGGAGCAATACTTTTTAATTTGATTACTCCTTATTTATCAATTTATATCCATTCTACTTTTCCTCCAAGGAGCTCTCGTAACTGAATGTAAATTAGATGTAACTGAATGTAAATTGGATGAAGGCAGAGGGCCTTCTCGGTAGTGGCGCCTGCCCTGTGGAACGCCCTCCCAGCAGATGTCAAAGCAATAAACAACTATTTTACTTTTAAAAGTCATCTGAAGGCAGCCCTCTTTAGGGAAGTTTTTAATGTTTGATTCTGTACTGTTTTTAATATTCAGTTGGAAGCCGCCCAGAGTGGCTGGGGAAACCCAGCCAGATGGGCGGGGTATAAATAATAAATTATTATTATTATTATTGTTATTGTTATGTTACACTTCAAACTGCCAGATTGTCTTCCTTATAAGCAATAGTAGGTTGGTTTTAGTTACATGAAATATATGTGAATTTTATTATTATGTATACCACAGATGATAACACGCTGCACGGACCAGTTTTCATCCAGGAACCAAGCAGTGTCGTTTTTGCACTGGATTCTGAGGAAAAGAAAGTCAAACTCAACTGCGAAGTGAAGGGAAATCCTAAACCAACTATAAGGTTTGTTGCATATCGTTCAACTTTTTTTGGAGGCGGGGGCACAATGTTCTGTTGCTATGAAGAAAGCGAAGAAAAACCCTGGCACTATACATGTCGGAGGAAAACCCCTCCAGTAAACTGAAAATAAACTATCAGGTCTACATTTATGTTTTCGCTTTCCAAGGACCAGCCATATTCACTCAATAGCAGCACTGAAAAAGCTCGTGGGACTGTGAAGAGGCTCATTTTTATTATGTCAAATGATTTCATAAACTAGGATGTAATTTGGCTGATGCACAGAATAGCTACGTAAGGAGGTAAAAGTGGGTTTTGATTTCACATATTTGAGGAAGGCTGTGGCACTCAGAAGCTTATGCCACACAATAAATGATAGCCTTTAAAGTGCCAAAATACTGTTTGTTACTATCATGCATGGCAATGGGTTGGACTAGATGATCCTTGGGGTCCCTTCCAACTCTGCAAGTCTATGATTTTATGCCTAACAGGTATTCAATTTGTGACAACTTGTGATGCTTTGCATAGAATTAAAATCTAAAAGTTAATGGGGAAAGTGATGTTCAAAGAGCCAGTGGAGAAGGTTAATAAGAGGAGTGACATGATCATAGTAATAATAGGAAAGAGATAAAAGGGTTTTATTTTCATTTAATTCATTTGTTTAATTTGAATACTGCCTTACAGTCAATCTCTTGAGGAGAAAAGAGACTAGGCAAGAAGACTTGGTAGACAAAAGGAAAGAGATAACAAAGCATGATGGTATTTGGACATTCTTCTTTCTGTGACTTTAAAAGGAAGGTCAATAAAGAAGAAATTTATTATGCCTAAATAGTCTGAATAGACTTGTTTATTGAGAAATGAGGTTGATATTCTGAGCAGTAGATCTAAAAAAGTATAAAGCATCTGTTTTGCAGTGAGGGGGTATCTTTGGACTTAATATAGGGATATATAGTAGTTTATAAATAGGGAAGTTAATGCATGGTCAGTAGATTGTAACACTGAAATAATAGCATTAATAGCAGATTTAAAATGTTGTGTGTAAATGTGTATTAAATTCACTATATAAAGTATTCTGCTCTAAATAGTAAAGATTATCCACCAAAGACTATAAATATGAAAATGTTTTAATCCAAACAAATTTTAAGTAAAATGTTTGTTATATGAGTGTTCTCAAAACAACAACAACAACAACAACAACAACAACAACAACAACAACAACAACAACAACAACAACTATTTATAGGGCCTAAATTGAAATAAACCCACTCTGGACCTATTTTAGAAATTTATGGATTTTGCCCTGGGAAAATCAGTTTGGGGTACTTTTCTTATTCTCTAGGAATTTCTGTGTCTCTATTGTATTATGTTTCCATCCCTCTGCTGTTTATACATTATAATCTAAATAAGAAGAGGTAATCAATGAAGGTGTTGGATACAATAGACCTTCTCTTAGTGTGCGGTGTTGGACTGGATGATTTAGCCCTTGAGCTGTAAGATGCTGTAAAAATTAGTAATCACCCAGAGCATCAGCTTCAGTAAAAGCAGTACCACAACAGTGATGTAAACATGAATCAGGTTTGTGACTGACTGGTAAGATTACTTATCAGGTTAAATGTTTATATAACATTTCAGATTTATACAGGAAAATGTGTTTTCATGGTACTTAGGAAATAAAGAGAAGGTCATTTGTTGTATTTCTCTCTCTCTCGCTCCCCAACCCCCCAAGCAAAATTCAACCACTTCCACTTTTGTACCATAGGTGGAAGTTAAATGGAACCATTGTTGACATTGGTATGGATTACCGCTACAGTGTGGTTGAAGGCAGCTTGTTGATCAATAATCCCAATAAAACTCAAGATGCTGGAACATACCAGTGCGTAGCAACGAACTCATTTGGAACAATTGTTAGCCGAGAAGCTAAACTACAATTTGCGTGTAAGTAGCAACAATATCATATGGTAGATATTACTTTGTTACAACATAATGTTGGGGGTGGGGCTATTAAATCGATGTCTCTATAAAGGTTCATATATACATAGCTCCATTTAGAATGTATCTTGATTCATAGGATGTGTAAATAAGTAAACATTTTGATAGGTCTGTTTTACAGAGAAAATTAAAAAGGAAAAAAGTGTATGTAGTGAGAAATTATTAATAATTTGTGCAATATTAAGGTTGTGAGAGGGAACCAAAGGCAGGCTGACCATCAGCAGTGCAGAAATGAGGGCAAAATAGCATTTGTTCACTCCACTGTTTTGCAGAGTGAACAGTTTTCCTCCCATTGTAAGCAGTGTGGGGAAAATAAGAGGGGCCTAAATCTACCTGGAGCTAGCCTGGATCTCTCCCATATGATGGATTTGGATCTTCAGAGCTGCCATTGGCATGCCTCCCTTTTGGTTTTTCGAACCTCAGCCTTCTTTTTTTGGTGTTGGGCCAGAGTACTGGAGATAACATCAATCATCTTTCTCTCCTGACACTGGAGTTTTGTTAGCCTAAGTGCATCAGTTTTCAAAACATTTTTTACGTTTCAGAACTTCAAAAAGGCAAAACTTACAGTGACTTTTTATAATGTAGTGTGGGATCTAAGAAAGGATTACTCAGCACTGCTGACTTTGAAAATGGCATTTGTCCTTCAACTTTATACGTCACTTACATAAAACCAGATTAGTTGTCCTCAAATGTTTGTTGTCTGTTCTGTTCTGAACTCCTGGCTGACCCTACCCCCATATTTTCAGCTGTCATATAACTCTGTCAAAGTTAATTAATTAGTCAAAAGGTTTAAATCGATTTTTTACCCCTGCCCCAAAGACATTTAGGCTGGAATCACATGTATACTTACAAGGGAGAAAACACCACTGAAAACCGTGGTAATTACTTCTGAGTCAGCATGCTGAGGGTGTGGTATCAGGTGACTGTACTCTTAGGTTGTTCTGATTTGCCTTACTTTATAGAGCATGGCGTGATATTACATAAATATGAACATACAATAAGCTATGTATTTAAACCTATCTTATTTCTCATTCACCTCTTTCTTTTTAGTAAAAATTATTGCTTATACTGCTCAGTTTAGCCGTTTGAATTACAGTATTAATCCATTTGGTACTATGTTTTAAAGGATACTAACAGTTAGAAGTAATTAATATCAAGCTTCTTGCTTGTGGATGTGACTTGGCACATTATTTTGGCAAATCTTTGTTTGGAACGGCTTCATTGGACCATGAAATGGAAATTAAGTTTTGCTGTGTTTTGTTTTAGAACCCTGCTGTAGAGTACACACTTGGGATAGGTTTTGCTTTTGTCTCAAACTCTTCTTCCTCAAGTCTGCTTGTCCTGGTTTTAGGGTTTCTAATCATCATCATCATCATCATCATCATCATCATCTAAATCTGATGAAGATGCAGAAATAGCTTAGGATATCATAGTCTTCTTTTGACATGTATTCTGTAAAGTACAATAGTACCTCGGGTTATAGGCGCTTCAGGTTACAGAATCCGCTTACCCAGAAATAGTACCTCGGGTTAAGAACTTTGCTTCAGGATGAGAACAGAAACCGCGCGGTGGCAGCGGGAGGCCCCATTAGCTAAAGTGGTACCTCAGGTTAAGAACAGTTTCAGGTTAAGAATGGACCTCCAGAACGAATTAAGTTCTTAACCCGAGGTACCACAGTATTCATAATTTCCCAAAGTATGAAAAAAATGATAGACATGTGTACCCTGGATAACTTGTGGATTTCGGCAGGGACACTCTTCCTACTCTTAAATCATTGTAATTATTTATTATTTTACACATTCATGCTCTCTCTCTTTGGAGAAACTCATTACAAGGTGATTTACAAAAGTTAAGCAAAACATCACATAATAAATAAAAAACAACAACATCTAAACTACAAATCAACAACTACTACTACTACTACTACCACTAATAAATTATTTATACTCCGCCCATCTGGCCGGGACTCCCCAGCCACTTTGGGCGGCTTCCAACAGGATATTAAAAACACAAAGTGTTCAGCTAAAATGTTTTTAACATCAGGCATGCACATCCTGTTTTAGTTCCCTTCGATAAAAGGCTAGAATTACTCAGGTAAGACACTGTTCAGTATGGCCACTATTTTTTATTCACGAAGGGCTGGTTGTTGTCCTATGTCCCTGTGCGTGTGCGCGCGCACGCATATTCACTGGAATTGATGCGTATAATTGCCTCTTAAGTGAAACATTACTAAGTTTCATAGAACATACTTTTTCAGTGAGCTTCCTGTTTGTGCCCTGTCACTGTTTTTCTTCCTTGGCCAGCATTTTATTTATGCAGTTGAATTATGCTGATTATATTGATGCTGGAAATTAAAATTGAAAATTAAAACATATACCAAAACAAAAGCCAATTTTTATGTCGGGCTTTATTGAAAAATGATCGGTGAAAAGTAATAGCTATTGGGAATACAAAATATTATATTTTTCAAAATAATTTACAATATAGTATCAGCTGCTTATATACTGATGGTGCTTGTTCAACGACTGAAAATGTGCTCTTCTTGTGGAACATAGGTAATGAACAGCTTCTTGGAGACTAATAACTTTAGATGCTGGTTTGTCAGGGAGATTGCTTCATAAATACTTCTTCTTCCTCTTGAATCCTGGTGCTCTCCAGTACCTCAGACATCACAAATCAAATAAGTTCGCTATTCATCAAACTAAGTTTCTATACAGTGGTACATTATTATTCAAAGCCAACTGCTTTGAAAAGATTTTGCTGTCATCATACCATGTGAGAAAGTTCCACACCAGCCTGACCATATATTCAAGCCACACAGAAGATGATAAAATGGCAAAAGCCATTAATTCAGCTAGGACTTGGCCACTTACTTAAACGGTTCACTGAGCTTAAAGAGCAATAATAAATAGCTAAATCATCCAGTGTCAAAATAAATGTGGGGGATATTGAATTGACATCAATAGGAGGTGCCCTCTTAGCTACTGAACTTGGCAGGTTTGGAGATTTTGCTTTTTGTGTGAGTTGATTTGTTTTGTAATAGAAAGAAAGAACTTTGAAGATTGTGAGCATGCTACATTAAAATATGTGTTTTGTTTAATTGGTATGTCATTGTAGACCCAAGAAAACATCTGGACTATAATAGAAGCTTTGATAGATGATTTGATTTGAAATAGGATGAAAGGAGTGGGGGGCATGTTGTGTTTGGAGGCTTTTTAATTAGTTTTGCTTTTTCTCAAAAAAATATATCAACTTATTTTGTCTGAGATGGCAAACAGAACTGTCGAAATTTCGAAATATCCTTGTTGGATTAAGTTTATTACACATCATTTGCTTCTAAAAAGCAATAAAGATGTGCATCAATTTTAATAATGTATTCTTTTCAATTCCAAAATGTATGTAATTCTAATAGAATAAAATGAACTGTAATGGACACTTCATGAAAGTCCAAGCCGATTTCAGAGCACAAAGCCTCCTTCACTGAAGAAATGCTTTCTTTTTGGTTTTATGTGAAGGAGAAATCTCAAAATACCACCCCCTACTAATAATTTGATGCACCACTAAAAAAGTTCATTTGACTTTAGTCGCTCCATGGGTTTCTATTTCTGCCACTACAATACCATTTATCCTGAATCTTACTTTGCTATTCAGGGACCTCTGTATTGACTGTTCTCGTACTTGCAGCCCTTGACCTACTTGTAGATTCAACGGCTGCTCCATGCTTTGTTTCCATCATACTATAAGATATTTATAGCATGGGAAAATATATTTATATTTATAGGATATTTATAGCTTGACTGTTGGAGGTTCAGTTAGTCTATCAGTCAGCACCTTTCACAGTTCCTCCTTTAATCTCTACCACCGATTATGTTGTTGATGACCTCTGCTTTCTTCCCTCTGATGCCGCATTTTAACTTCTGTGGCAAATTATACCCATCTAGTTTGGAGATAAAAGGCTGTCATTATACTCAAGGGTTAAATTTGAATACAAGGGCATCATTAAAAGATGTTGGTTCTCTCTCTCCCTCTGTCTCCTGGTTAAGGGCTAAATTATTTTTCATGTAGCTTATTCCCTGCAGATTAAACTCTGAAGTAGCTATTTAAGCTCTTGAGGAGGTCAGAGTGGATCAGCAATTATTCCTGAAATATGTATTTAGGTTACAAACTGATTTTGATAAAAGTGCTATATATGTGCCCTCAAATACTTGATATGTTATAATAATTAACATTTCAAATTTTCCTCATTGTTTCTTGACATGCTTTTTAAAAAAAAAATACAAAAGTAAGGAATAACTAATGAGATGTGGATTGATGATACTTTAAAAAACACACACCTTTGCTTGCAGTTGTAAAGATTCACAGAATTTAATTCTTCATAGCATGGTCAAATGCTCATCTTCCTATATCCATAAAATTGTAAGGTTGTCATCACTCAGCCCCTGTTGGAGGATTTGTAGTGCTTCATCACAATCCTGGATTTGCATGCAGTAAAATCCAAGAGGCCAAGAAAAAAACGAGCTTAATAGTTGTACAGGGTGAGGAGGAGAACCTCAAGGGACTTAATGTGGGGGAATGGCAGGGATTTGGCAAATTGAGTGAGAAGGGGCATAGCCCCTAATATTAATATGTGAATGAAGTAATTCAGATTATGCTGTGATGGTTTTCCTGGATGGGGAAGCTTAGCATGGCACTGTTGTTTTCTGCTGGATATTATCTTGATAGCTTAAATAAAGGACATAAAGGCATTGGGTGGTGTCCAATTGTCTTCCTCCACTGATGGAAGGCTTGTTTGATCAGGTGGAGGCTTCCATTAGTGGAAAGGGCAGAGGCATTTTTTTGCTGATTTCCCCTATCCTTTCTAGCCATCTGTCCCTGGTGGTTGAGGACACTTCACAACAGCAAACAGCATGATGCAGGAAACTGCAGGGAAGAGAGGGAATTGGCAA